TAAACACCACTGATTAATGCATTTCTAAAGAGGGTTGATGTCAGGCAGGCGGGCCGGTCGTAAAAACAATTAGCCAAACCTATTCACAACATGTAAGGCAGACCCTGGCAAAAAGCTGGGAAATTGCCAGGTAGAAGAAGATATACTAATATATAATTATTGGTGGTCTTAAGAATACTGAAAGATATTAAAAAGAGATTTTACTAGCTTGAACCGATTATATTAGAAACATTTGACAACAAAAACTATTAAAGTTATCATATTAAAGTCTTTCAATTAAAAACAAAAAAATTACAAGAAACATATAAAAGAACAAATAAATATATGTAAATATACATGCTGCTTTAAATATAGTTTTCATTTGAATAATTTTAAATTAATAGCGTAATATGTAATTTATTAATATCCATATCAAATTGAGATGTATTGTTTCATCTCTGCGGATATTACAAAGCCTTACTCTACTTGTATATGAATACCACAATAACTCAAAGCCCAATGTTCTGAATATAAAAAAAAATATATAATATGTAAGATATTTAAATACTTTTTATTATAATTCATATGCACAAAAAAAAATCAATGAATTGCTTATGTCTAATAGTTTTAAATTTATACTTCTTGTACAGGAATGAAAATTAAGTCAAATAAAAAAAGAAAAAAACAAGTGTCACATACCAAAAAAATATTCAATGCATGCTAATTTAACACTTATTGATTAGCTCTATAGAGTAGATTTTAGTCTGTTTTTTTAAACTTGGAAGCCTTTTCCTTTTAAAATCAGCTTTAAATTATCAACAACCTGAGTTTTAAGGTTCAAAAGGAAATCAGGTTTGAGATCTTTTGTCTTCAAGTATTCTAAGAAGATATAAATCTGTATCAAGCCGAAGTATTCTTTAGATCTCAAGTGGAAAAAGGATGTGGAGATCAAAGACGGGATGATATACTTTGGCGACCTTCGTTGTCACTTTATAATAGATATTCAGATAAGATTTAATCTTATACGTAAAATTAACATATATAATTTGAGAGTACGTCGAAGGTAGCTAGTAGATTTTTTCAAATTTGGTTAGGTAGGGAGAGGAGCTTGGACGGTGGAGGTGAGTGTTTAACGTGCGTTGGATAGGGGCCTTTTAAACCTACACCTGGGTCGCAATTCCCAGGCACTGTTGAAGCTCCTCTCCCTGCAACGATGGACCCGGCACCCGCACGGTGAATCCATTGAATGCTAAGACGTTTCGTCTCTTATTTGTAACTAAAAGTTGCTTATAAGATATCTTATCTGTCGGTGAGTCAAAATAGTTATACCAAAATAATCATTCACTGCTTTGAAGTTATTAAACTTTATATATAATCGATATAATTTTGGAAACATTGAAGGTTTCTTATTAACCGTAATGAGCCGCAAGTCTAAACAAGTTCGATCAATTAAAAGATATCTCGGGTTCACTAAAATAAGTAGCACCCTAGCGAAAAAACCTTATTTTTCTGAAACATTTACCAAATGTTAGAAAACCTTCATTATTCCTTGAATATCTGCAACTAGATCTATTTCTAGATAATGAAGTCTAAAACAATGACACAGTAAATTAATTGGTTCAGTTTATCGACTCACGGAAGTTTATTATATGTAGATAAATCCTACTCAATTATATTTTTCTCTAATCTATTGAAATATGTTTTATGAAAGGTGAATTGTATTGTCATTTATAAAAAAAACAATACATTTAATTGCCTTCAAAGTGTCAAGTCATAGTGAAAAAGTAAATCATAAACGTGTGAAGTCATAGCAAGAAAAATAAATCACCCCGTCGGCTTGAATAAATAAACTCGTGTCTCGACAAATAAAATTATTCTTTCTATAGACAGTACTAAGTCAAAGTTGGAGTTCACTTGGTAAGAGTTTTGGAAGATAAAACAGAATACAAAGAAAGAGTATAAGCCGATAGGAAATTATTGGGAGGGAAAATCTTAACCATCTTTTTTCTTTTTTACGCTCCGGTCTCTTGTTTCATTTGGGATTTCGGTTTCCCAGAATAATCTGTACCTCTGTAAAAATAGAACTACATTTATGAATATTCTAAGTTTTTCCTAGTCAATCAATAAATTATATTTATTTTAAGAGACGAACAAATAACACTCCTCTTGTTAAAAAGATAATAATCAGACTCAGACAAATCCACACTTCCTCTATTGGTAACAGTAGTTTGTATTATGCCTTCGCAGTGTTAGTTTTAGAAACTAATTACCGGGTTACGGGACAAATGACGCTATAGATAAAATTTAATATCTATTAATTAACTAGAAATTTTATCTATTATATTGATACAACACTAACTATAAATTCTATCATAATTTAAACAAGTTAAAACTGAACAAGATTTAACATGTTATGGTTACAATAAAATTAGGTTTCTTGGATCTTAGGTTTGCTTGGAAATATATGTAAAAAATATTATCTCGATATACTTTGCAAATTAGAATTTTGTATGATTGAAAGTAATTACTTAAAAATAACATTAAACTGGATACAACTACCAATCAATTAGATGCTAAGAATTTTGTTATAACATTATAATAACAACGCTTATTATTATAGTTTAAAAGGATATTAAATCTCGGTTATTTGGCATGCGAATTATAATGTAAAAATTGTGACGTAAATCCAATTTACCGTGAAAGCCTGCAATGTACCGTTTGATTTATGCTCGCACGGCCATACACGCTTTCGAATGTTGCGAGGCGTGAGTTATTCTAACTAACATTATTAGGCCTTGTATGTATAATACATAATATTTTATTTTTATTAAAAAATCATATGATTTTATTTTTCAAATAAGTTTTCGAAAATATTGGCACGATTAATTCGAGAGTTTTTGGTCCTAAAAACAATAATTATAAATGAGCTTTAGTTACATAAAATTCAAATCATATAGCAAAAGTAACAATGCAACTGTTTATTCTCAAAATGTGACCCCGAATACTTAAATCGGATCAATTTTGATGAACGTCTTTCACTGCTCAAGATCATACAATTATTAATACATATGCTTCTATACAAGGAATATACTCAATGTCTCGAAAACGTGAGATTATAAGCATAGCTTCTAGTTTAAATCATACTTTAAAAAAAACACAGCATATCAAATGACTTTTAGTATAATTTTTTACAGGTACTATGCTTGCTTATTTTGAAGCTATTGCAGAGATAGTACATACACAGCTTTCTTAAAGACAGTAGTTATATCTACTTTATATATGTAAAATGTATATTATGTAAGGTATTTGATGTAAGTCAAAGTACACCTATATAAATAATCAAAACTTTTTCATAGATTAAATAGTATAAGTAGTAACTGAATAGTGAGTGGAATTATTTATAAGTAACAACAATAAGTAACACTAATACCCTATTAGAATTGGTTATTTTGTACAGTATAGTTGAATAGATGTTTTGAAATAGACTACGCGTCTCTTGAGATCCGTTCAAATAAAAATATGTTATTGTAACTATAACATAAAACTAGTAAAATATATGTAAATTTGTTATTCTTTCTAAATCATTCATCCGTTTATAGAACCATGTAGACATAAAACAAAGACGGCTTTTTGAGAAATATAATGACGCAGAATTTTGAATATCTACATGAAATTTTTGTTCACTTGAATAAGAACATACATATATATTTTGAAAAATCACGTCGAGATGAATCTGAAGTAATATTTCAACTCATTCGGAATGTCTTTTTAATACCAGACAGATTGTGAGAGAGAGAGACGCGCTATATTCGTCATAAAAAAACTTAAAAATGAGGCCAGCCGGTACAATGTAACAATGGGACTTCTCTCATTGGTAGCATAATGTGACAAATAGTTATCGGTTACCACTGATTAAAATAAAACCGAGATATTAAAACATTTCTTTTGTAGATTCAGTCTTACGGAAATACTCGACAGCGTCTTGATATTTTTAGTGAGGCATTTTAAGTGATAATGCAGTTAACGAAATTTGGGTTGATGTCGGGCAGGCGGCCGGGCGTAAAAACAATTAGCCAAAACTATTCACAACATGTAAGGCAGACCCTGGCTATAGCTGGGAAATTGCCAGGTAGAAGAAGAAGAATGCAGTTAACGAAATTTATTAAAAAATTTCAAACGAGTAATTAAGTTGGGTCATCTGTTGGAAAATCTAATAGTAAATTTCATAATTTCACCCTGTAGGCTTTATATATCGATAGATAAAAGTTCCCTTTTCTATTCATAGATAGCTATTATATTGAAATTATACTTGTATATATTGGGTAATGGATAACAAAACCATAACATAGATCGAATTGGACCAAACTGAATGAACGTAAAAAAAGAAACGTGAAAACAATTTCGGAGCTTGATAAATATTTATTTTATTTCTTCTCCATTTAGTTCGCGGAAACGTTGATTGATACCTCTCCTATTTTGTACGTAAGGTTATATTAGTTTTTTGTTTCTTTTTATACAACAATCTTTTGTTTTATAATTCTGTTGCGTCCGTAGGTATTGCGTTTCAATGTTATTGCGTATTGTTAAAAACAAGATTCTAGACATCTTTCTGATAGTTTTGTCGATAAAATACACACATGCCAATACGTCTTTAATGAAAAGAAAGATGGGATAAGTCTATACAATGACGTGTACATAGGAATAGAGAAACCTTTGTAAAAGTCTTATATAATTTTATGATAGCATAAATAAGACAAAAGAAACATCGGCTATATCCTCTTTCGTATGAATTTTTGTGTATCCATAAATTAGTCATCTTTACAAGATAACAAAGCTCGTTTTAATGATTCGTTCACATAAATAAAACTAGTTTGTTTGCTAGTTAGATCCGTAAACAAACTATTTAAAACGCTTTCGTGATTTATAGGGGCATATATCTTTTCAGGTGGTAGTGCTGTTTGGATATGGCGTCATCGGTCCGCAAATAGTGCCGGGCGGGGCGATGGGTCTGACGTAGCGGTATGGAGGAGGAGAGGCGGCTGTCCTTCCCGCCACCGGCGCCGCTGCACTCGCCCGGAGAGGAGATTGACGGCTCCCGTCTTCTGGGAGAGATAGTCCGCACGTTAGAAGCAACTAATCCCGATGCCGTTGCTCCACTGGTCGCGTCGCGGTCCCGAGACACGCTCGATGCGGAAGAGGAGAAGCCTCGGCGGGAAGAACTGCGGATACCCCTTGATGTCACGTTCTCGGAGTCTGTTGGACGGAGTGATGAGCCCCGGGCGGTTGTCACTCCGTTCACGCGGGAGTCCGCCAAACGTGCCGGCTCCAGGGGTGCGCAGCTGGTTAGAGAGTTCGGCTTCATGCCTCGACGGAGACTCAGCGTTGAAGACGGAGCTCGGTTACCTAGGAAGTATGAACCCTTCCCGCCGAAATTGTACGGAAGGCCATTGGAGGAGATCGACAATTTTATTTACGATGAGGTAAGTGGAATTCTTATAGTTTTCTAATAGTTATTGGCCAATATAACGGAAAGTTATGGGAAGGAAGGTGTAATAACCAAGATGGCCATAATTCTTCACCGGTGGTCATAAACTTCAATGTTCGATAATGTTTATTTGACGATAAGAATATTGGTCTCCTTTTATAGAAACATGTAATAGACTGTAGATACAATCCTTATTATCGAACTATTAGTGGACTATAAATTTATGGTTTCCATAATGAACAAAGGTTCAATAGTCAGAACAAACAACATTCCTGTAACCGAGTAAAGATAAATATTGAAATGTGTATGTTTTATTTGTATAGGAGAGTTTATTTAAAGGGGAAACATCAAAATATAATCTTAAACTTCTTGTACGTAATATAAGACATTAATTACTTCAACATTTTGCATATATAATATTTACGTTCTTGATTTATTTGTGTTAATATTTTTAATTCTATAACAATAGGTATCGATTAAATTGACCTACATTTACATTTATCATCATGTGAGCAAATGGTGGATAAATGTGTTTGATTAAATGTAATATTTTAGTCTAATACATAAATAAAAGGTGTGATAGAATTTAGAAACTTATAGGCATGAATGAACATGCTTTATTAAAGTCCTCTGGGTGACACAAGACTCATTAGGCGAGTTTAAAACAACTGATTTTCAATGACGTAGTAAAATGTACATATTCAAAGTACAGGTTTATAATAGTTAGACTTAAAAAACTTAAAAAGTTACTTGATATGATTAGTTAAATTAATTATCACGTATTGTAAGTATCAAATAAGCAGCAATATAAACGTTATTATGCAATTATTTTGTATGTATTTTGGCGAGATATGACGAATGATAAATTTTATTTGTCCACATATGTCTGAAAATTTATAGGGAATACGATTATTTAATTGCAAAATATAAATGGAAAAGTCTAAGTCTGTTTCTTACTAAAGCATCCATATGCTACTAAACCGATTTGTATGCAATTCAGTATTTCAATAGGTATAGCGCCGACAATTTTTTATATAACTTCTTGAAATATCAAGTTTTATACATAAATAATAAAAAATAATGTTTAAAAGTTAGCAATATTTTGTGAATCATTTTAATTAAACAATTTTTTTTATTAATCCTGAATTAAAATTTTGGCACGTTCTATTTTTACTGTATAATTTTTTAGAATAATCGCCTCAAAGGTAGATGTTTATTTAAGTGAACCGTTAGCCTTTACCTCAAATATTTGCTTAGGCGAGCGACCTGATAAGGCGTAGGGCACACTAGATAAGTGCGGTCGTAACTTGTTGCTCGAACGAGTCTTTTAAACTCCTTTGTGTATTTTCCCTTTGAACATCCGATAGATAGGTCAAAATTATTGCTACCGAACATCGAATACTTTTCCTATCTATTTTATGTATGAATATAGTTTAAAGGTTTTTTTAAGTTTAAAGTTTTTATCCTGCAAAATTCATAATTGATAAAATAGTGCAATAACTATTATATTAAATTTTTACATAATCTATATTTGATCACACATCGAAAGGCATATAAGTAATTTAAAATAGTATTTTTATAAAAGTATGTTTAGTTAAAATTCAAAAAAATAAATAAATAGGTATTGAATCAGCGATCCAAGCACGAGTCGATCTTGCAATCTCCAGAATATTGCGTTCTAGTTGTTTTACAATTTAAATGAATTTGTTTTCCTCTTATCTTCGTTATCTTCCTCAAGCCTTTTCTCATAATGTCGATTGGTTAAAATTTGTTGAAAATTTGGATAAATTTTAAAACCCTACTTATATTTTAATATTTAGTTACGAAAATCATAAATATTTTTAACATTTTAAAATAATATAATATCCGTCCATGAGTGGGCAATACAATTACTGTTTTCCTTTTCAGATGAGTAGATTAAAGATTTCATACTTAAGCAATTTTTATCAGCAAATATAATTTCGATAACAGAACTTCACCCCAACACGAGTAGTCGGATCACGTATTGCATACTTTGCTGCAATATCCGTATTTGCAGTGGCTTATAATCTATATGATTTTAGAATTGTACCGTTGACCGTTGCCCTTTATTGTCAATTTTTCTGTACATTTTTGGCTAATTTCTGGCTTGATCTTAACCCTGAAATTTAAGCAATTTTACGCTCACATCTAATGTAAATCATTGCAGTATCAAATAACACATAGAGAAATATTATAATAAAAAAAATTACAGTCCCATAGGTGAGCTTCCTCGCCGGTGATAATATCTGATAAAATCTTCCAAATCACATTGATTGAATTTATTTTATGATGTTAGCTTAATATGATCTTGGTCGCCGGTTTATCCTGAGGGTAAAAATATGAGGAATTTTAAAATTTTACATCACAGGTCCTTACTGTAACAATGCAAAGTATCTTGCCCAAATATATAGAGAACTAATAGAGGTTGACCAAAATGAGTTTAAATTGTCATTTGCATTATATTCATAACATGTAGAAGGAATTTGTACAATTTCAGAAAACTAAAAAAATCTGTTATAATAAGTATTTTGAATTTAAAAATTTACAATACTTTACCTACTTTATAAAATGAGGATAATTTTGTGAAAAATACGTTCATGTTTTCAATAAATAAAGGATAAAAAAATGATGTAAAATAATGTAGGTACATAAAAAATATGCACTCTTACATATCTCTAGTAATCTAACACCTGAATATATAGACTAAATACATGATATGATAAGCAACTTTCAGTATGATAAAAATCTGTTCATTTGAATCCGTAGGTACGTTAAAAATATATAAGTATATAAATATTTGTAATCATTGAAATTGATGTAACAAACTGATTGTACAAGATACTAGTTACTGTAATGAAAAATGTAAAGCTATTTTAACTATAAATTTGATACTTTATTAATAAAGCAAAGTTTTTCCAAAAATTATTACAAGGAGTATTGGAGTTGCATTATTCTCTTTTACTTAATCCAAAAAAATCTAAACAAATTCATATTTAACAATAATATTATCACGTATAAAGCAAGTACTTCAGAAAATAAGGTATTAAATAATTATTTTCATATCTTTTTCGAACAATACAATTTTATGTTCCAACTCGTAAGATCTATGGCGTACGTCTTGTATCATTTATATTTGTTGAAACTTTTTGCTGCACGTCTGAATAAAAGTACTGTTGAATGCTCCGCTACGTGCTCAGCGTCTAGAATAATAACCCTTTAAGGTTTTATGAAATGTTATAAAGAAAATTGTATCCCTTGTGTCATAATAATATTCACTTCAAGCTTTATTGAAGTTCAATGACTGATATGAAATATTTTTAAACTAATTTAGAGATATGCGTTCTTTTTTAGGTTTATGTATACATTTAAATGAAACTAGTGTTTTACGGATATACTACGGGACTTTACTTTTGATAAAAACTACATACTCCCGATGTTTCGGTTACTTTACACTTTACAGCAACCGTGATCACGGACAGACAAGATTATTTATACATTTCTTATATATCTACGACTGTACTTGTGTTTCAGTATGCGATTTTGATTTTATTTCATTATTATTAAAAGGCAAAAGTTGCAAGAAATCATTTAATATATAGATAATAATTTTCGTTGTTAATTATTTTATATTTCTAAGGTTACTGATAACAAATAATAATAATTTGTTACCATAAATATGTCAATACAGTTCCCCAGTGAGAAACTCACATTAAATAGTTAAAAGCTAACAAAGGATTGGTCATTAAGATACAAACAGTGTCTTAATTGATAGTTCACTATTGTTGTATCAACCAAACTTCTCGTGTGAATAAATTATATGGAATAACAAAAATAATACTACATATATAAGCGACCAAACCCTGGTTTTTAACAAGCCTGGATTACGTCATGAATACTTATAATCTTGATTACGGTCAGGGTGTTAGGCTCTTGAAGGTAACCTCGTAGATGCTTTGACAAATTCTTTATTTTGAAGAGATTCGATCTCTGTAACAATCATTGTTGTGACTGCACTTGCACTGGTGGCTACGCAAATGGTGACACTAATTAGTGATCAATAATTTTGATTTACTATTTTTTATTAAAGATATTCTCTCCGATATATATACATATTCAATTGAATAGTACTTTAACGGTTATTTTATTTCAAACAAAAAAATATGGACTCCTGGTTCGACGTATAATAATCTCGTAACAATAATAGATAAAAAACAATCGATTACACTTTTACTATAGTTTTTTTATTGACAATAACTTAGTATACGTTAACTTTCAATAATATAATGTACATTATACATATTATTGGAATGACGACGAGTTTGTTTGTAAAAATATTTTATATCACATATAGGGGTGTAAACATTTTGACATCATCCAAAGTTAATTTCACCTACAAAACGTTATTTATGAATTTACAACTTTACTGAGTCTTATGTAAACAATCTGATAGACAAAGGATTTGTAAACGGAAAATGAGAGATACTAATAACACAAGTGCAACTCTTTTGTACTGTTCATATAATTTAGTAAAATATAATATGTATAATAAGATCTAAGATCTAACATCTCGCCTGCCCGTGATCACGGTTGCTGTAAAGTAATCGAAACTTCGAGAGTATGTAGTTTTTAAACAAAAATAAAAATCGCGTAGTAAATTCGAAAATATTAGTTTCATTTAAACAACATAATATATCCCATTATCTTATTTACATTGTAACAAATGGTGTTATTAATTTAATTTATCATATTAGCAAACAGTGAAACGAAAACGTTTGAGTTTGGAGAAATATGTTTTAGCTTTTGAAAATTTTGCCACTATAATAAGTTATAAGACCCAAAGGAACAAGAATTTAACTGAATGGACACTTCAACCTCTCTCGTAGGAGTAATTTACCATTTCAACATAAGTAGTTTTAATTAAGTAAAGACGTATGAATATATAAATTGTTTAAGTCTTTATTGAGTGAGTAAGTA